TTCACCGAAAGTTTCGCATTTATATTTGCTATCAATATGCAGTAAAGAATTATCTTCTAAGTAAGGCTTTTTTGCTTGAGATTGTTGAACGGTGAAGATTATCATTCGCTTAAAGTTACAAATGGTGTTTACAATAAATTTTTATTAGTGAAACGTTACATTCTTTAAGAGTACTTTAAAGTATATAAATAAGGTACCCGGGCAATTCATTTGAGTCGGCCAATCATAAGAAAATCGGTTTATGACACTATAATATATCTCATTATAATACCCAATCGAGATATCTTGTGATCCATGGTTTTGGTTTCAAATTCCAATAAATATAATATCTAACTATACCTTACAAATTATATTGTATTTCACATTACGTCACCTACGTCATGTTTTACATATTTAGAGATGCGCTAAAGCCAGTCATTAAGTTATCGTTGTTTAATTAATAGATCAAATGAAATCTAGAATATCTCTCTTATGAATTGACCATTACTACTCTTCATTTATACATTACCAATTTTAGTGTAATGCATTTCAAATTTCCTTCCGTGGTCTTCTATAACGCCTGCCTACCTACGTACGTACCTACCTACGTACGTACGTACACAATAATTATTCGACTTAGTATCGTTACGTATTGTAACAATTTGGTTCAGTAGTTAAAGATTATTTAATAGAAGTATTATGCATAGCGCTAACGTATAACATAAATCTTTGACGTAAGAATGTATTGTAATTTCCTTCGAACTTCTTGTAAAACAGTACAATAAAACCATTCTAGTACGTACGTACGTACGTACACATGTGCATACATACTAAATTTATGTTGCATACTTTTCCCTAAATGTAGGGACCCTGAATATATTGACGACACCGTCAACAAATGATGCTAAACTTCCACATGAGGGTGCATCATTCTCAATTGACAGCGACAGTATGTTGACGATTAATGTTAATTATGACGGTACCGGACCCGAACTATTCATACATTGAAATACGCAATATTACATCATACGCGAGTACAGGAGTAATGAACTTTTCCAATTGCTAGACCAAAAGTGTCAGTTTATTTATGGGAAACTTTATTTGACAGTACAAATTTTCTCACAAGATAGTATCACCTCATTTAAACATTTGTTCGAGACTTTTGTGTGTGTTTTCTCACGATTTGCACGAGAACCAAAGTTTGTGTTTATTAAATTTAGTCATTTATAGACTAGACTGCGTAATACAGTTATTGGATAATAAATTTTCAACTTATACAATTATTACTATCGTGAAGTACTAACTTAGATCTTTCTGATTTATACCCAGAACAAATTGAAGACTAAACTTTGATTTATATTCATTTAGAAGAATTGCTAGATAAATTTAGTATTTGGAGAATAGCAGATAGTATAAACTTTGAAGATAAATAAGAAAGCATATACTGGATATCTTTGTAAATACGGAATATTAGTTAGCACTTTGTATATAGTATCTTAAACTTTTAAGAACTAAGCACGAGCTTAATATAAACAGGGTTGCCTGTATATTTTTAAATTAGTTATACTGTAATATTTATATACAGTCAGACCTCTATATAATCACCAAGTCCGTCGCGCCCTAATGTGGTGATTGTATAGA